AAAAAAAAAAAATTATACACTTATTTTAAATATAAAATTTGATTAAAAAGTTTTTTCTTAATACGTAAATGTGAAAGTCCATGCTAAATAACCCTTAACCAATAACCTAAATATACTGTAATAATTATAATAATAAATAATTACTAATAATTATAGAGAAACATTAAAACATAAATAGGCTATGTGCAGAGTTAAAATTGAACAAATTCAAAATAAATTTTTGTTGTAAGCCCATTTAGAATCTCCGAAACAATTTGTAATATAAATTACATATAATTTTACACCTTAATTTCTGCTTCTCACAAATCATCAAGCAAAATAGACCATACCTATTGTGTCTTATATATATATATGAATATATTTCCATTTTGTTTGAAAATATTTGCTTGTAGTTTGCTTTCTCGTATATCTGAAGTGATATATTGTAATAAATTTCTTAGAGTTATTCTAGTTGGATGGAGAACAGAGGTATATTCAGACACCATCGTTAGGAAAACACTGGAAAAGGAGAAGTTTATATCCTCTCTGTCCTTCCTGAATACGCTTCTAAACGGTAAATATTATAATTATATTCAGCTAATTTTCCACGTGCTTCAAAATAATGTATATTGAAGAAATTGCAAAGCTTAAATCGCTTTATAAGCACACGATCTCATTGCATGAATCGCTATAATCCATCCATGTTATAGCAGTTTCTTTACCCTGTTTGTGAGTACTCTTATACCTACCCCTCTGCAAAACAAATAGAGCATAACCACATCTTTTCACTGTATAAAATTTAGGCCTAATATACCTAATTGTATATAATGAATACAAAAACTGATATTTATATAGACATATTGTATACCGAATGGCTTGAAAACTACCGTAAAACGTAAAATTTCCATTTGTTTTTAATGTATAATACCCAACAACTAACTGCTCATCGGTCAAACTAAATTTTGCCCATTATGGACGAATCTGAGTCAAAATAGATTGCTTTTTAGGGTGTGTTTTGCTAAACAACTGAAAAGCAATCAATATAAATTGATGTGTTCTTATAAATGCCTTTTCGCCTTTACAAAAACACAATAAAACATTAATAAACATTTATATTTATTGTAAATTATTTGATCTGTAGAATATATAAAATTATTCAAATTCATGCAATAGGTGGGATGTCTAGCCTATGTAATAAAAGATTAATATCTTCATTGTTTAATTGTGTTGTCTTGTATGTAAGTGTTATTTTAAAAAGATATTTTTCTTAAAGAATTTCTTAATTTCTTATATATATTTATATATACAATTTATACTTTTATATAGCGTAATAATTATTAAAACAATAAAATTCATTTTTATTTCTATTTTATAATTCTATTGCTAATATTTTTACAGAATTTCCATTTTTATTAAGCAATACTTCGCGGGTAAATAGTTTAAATTAACTGAAAATTAAAAATCATTATAAAAATTTTTTATATAAAATATAAACTTAGAATTGATTTCAAATGCAATTATTTTTAATTTTCAGTTATTTAGTGAGCTGTAATCCAATACTACAGTATAAATATTTACGTTATTGAAATACTACATAGCCTACTTTTCAATAGGAAATTTGTGGTATTTACTTTAGCTTAACATTACTATTCATCTCTGTTACGATTTTACTGAACTGTATATCGAGGGCCGTCCTGAATAAGAAACTTTGTCAGGAGGCTTGTAATTCTTGATCTTCCTGATAAAGTTTGACCCCGGAACCATCTTTATTTGAGAGATAAATTTGAAAAGTGTTGATTCTATTAATCATACCGTTCAAAAATAAGTTTAGAACAATATTCTTTATTGTTTTTCGAGTGTATAGAACAAATAAATGCAACAAAACATGACATTTTAATCAGAAATTCGACTAGTCCGCATTAGTACTTTGTATGCTCAAAACACTTGCAATAAGTGTCTTAACATTTCCCTACAATAGGCTCCAACCTTCTTTCTTTATTTGTTCTTTCCACGATAAATCTCATCAAAATTCTCTCTAAATAGCAAGTATTCTCCATCCTTTACGCGCGCAGTCTTTGTAGATCTACATACAGGTCTATTTATATGTTATTTATATAAAAATAATCAAAAACATATACTTATGCAATGAATTATATATTATAAATATTATTTAAAAATCATTATCATTACGCAGCAGAAAAAATAAATAAATTTACTTCCTTGCGTAAGAATTGGCATTAAGATTGAGTAATGAAGAAGGTAAATAATATATGTAGTGGTAATACTCGTATAACCAAGGTTGTTCAAAATTCTGTTGATAATACTTTTATAATTTCGTAAATACATATAAATATATGTATATATACAATAATTAAATAAAAATCTTGGAACTTTTGAAGATACCACGTGAGACTGGAGAGTACATGTCTTGATCTTAGGATAATAACAGAAACGATGGATATAATAACAAATAATAAAAATAAACTGTAATAATAATGATTTTAAAATGTAAAAACATCTAATGCAATTAGTTATTTATGTATTATTGTAAAAATAATCAAATGTTCATAGAATTATTATGAATAAAATCTTAATCATGTATTGTGACAATGTCACAATGTTGGATAAAAATTTTAATCATATTTTAATTTAAAAATTAATCTGGACCTCTTGCTCTTAAGCTATCCGTATCTGGTCTCGATTTTTATCTATCTAACTCCATTCTCGAGATTAACGAAGGGCAGACAGACGGACAGACGAACAGACAAACTACAGTGGGAATTTATAAGTCTGCAATTTGAAAATTGTAGCTCAATTAGCTGTTCGGATTTTGACGAGAAGCACGTTTCATATTAATAATTATGCCAATAAATTATTATTGAATTTAATGATACAGTCTTAACATTAAATATTTAGAATATATAAGAAACAGGTTTGTTGTAATTTATCTAAAACCTGTATATCTTAATAATAACTTTTCATCGAGATGCAATGATAAAAATACAGACAACACTATGCATAATTCCATTGATAAACAGGGTATATCATAACAGCACTGAAATATCGATTACTGGTGATAAATATTTCAGAAAATCATATTTTTTTTTTAAATAAATCTCATTCTAAAGTATTACGTTCTTGAAAAAAGAGATGACATTTATGCAATTACAACTGCAAGAATGTTAAAATATTTGTTACACGCTATCCTACATACTAATATATTGATAGAACCTCAGCACCTTATCCTACCTTGATGTTTCTATATACAGTACAACAGTGTTATTCAACGGAATGCTAATACTGTATTAAGAATTACACTAGTCAGGAATGTAAATAACGTATAACGAAAGATAATGTAAATTTATTTACTTATTTGTTATATTAAGTACCATGAATATTGTCTTAAGTTTTGTTAGATGGCGATTAGAAGAAAAACATTTAATAAAGGGGAGAAATTTCTAAGAAAAGATTAAAAAACATTTAATATTTATTTATTAAAAAATTAATAACGAAGCCTTTAGAGTTTGGAAGCTTAAATAGCGCTGTATGATTGAATAATTCGTGTATATATATATATAGCCTATCTAGCTTAATGATGATATATGATCCCATTCCAGAAACTACATTCTCTCATACTCAGGGCAAATATATAGAATACTCGTCTAAATACATAATAATATAGTTTTTTATATCAATATAGGCTACTTATATCAACATATCAATCGGATTTTATGCGCTTCTGAAGCACATACAGTAAATCTAATATAATAAGATAAAAATAATCATAATCATAAGAAAGAAATAAACGTAGAAATGTTTTATTTTTATAATATCCAAGATTAAGACGAATATACAACAGATACTGTCAAAAATATTATATGCACGATAGCTTGTTTAATTAAGCATAAAGGTATATAAATGTATAAAAAATATTTAATATAGAAGTAAATAATGAATCAGTAATTTCTATTCATCTAAAAATAAAAAATAAATCTTATTAACAAATTTTTTAAGCAATTATATATAAAGTTTACAAGTTTAAAATAGTTACTANAGCGAAATGTTCATAGAATTATTATGAATAAAATCTTAATCATGTATTGTGACAATGTCGGGTAAAAATTTTAATTTAAGAATTAATCTGGACCTCTTGCTCTTAAGCTATCCGTATCTGGTCTTGATTTTTATCTATCTAACTCCGTTCTCGAGATTAACGAAGGGTAGACAGACGGACAGACGAACAGAC